TATTATTAGTCAAGACTTAGCCTCTACTTCCCTAACATCTTGCCCTCAACTCTATACCAGAAATTGCCTGTTTAGCAAGCACAAAGGGAGTGGGGGAAGATGTGAACTTGTCCATAATGGCAGTGGTGTCTCCTTGGCAACCAGTCAATGTTGGTATGAATCTGCTTCACACTGTTAGTTCATTATAAGACATATAATGGGTTTGCTAACAGAAGTAGGCAAAATATATGATTAATGAATAAGAATCCTTTTTCATTGGTGACTTTGATAAAGAGTTTTTATTTTAATATTGTTGGAAGCCTGCCTATTGTGATTTCAAATTAGACAATTACATAATCACAAATAGATTCACTTCTATTCAACAGAGAGACTTAAAGCCAACTCTCCAGACTTGTCTCAGTAAGAAAGTGATGTTGCTAATTTCCCATGTATACATACCTAGTAACCAGGTACACAGCCAAGCCTTGTGTGTATTGTAGTTTGCAAAGCCTCCTTGGTGATTTACTCAAAGGGCATGGGCTTGGGTCTGGTGCACATTCCATACATAATAGCCATTTATAAGGGATTGTCCTGCCTCCACATTCTTTGCAGTACCCTAAAACATAGTACATTTCTCTCAAGGAATTTGATCTCACTCTAGTCTATAACTTAGTGGTTCTCAGAGTGTGGTCTCTGGACCAGAAATATCACATCACTGGGAAGTTGTTAAAGGTACCTCTCAAAATCAGAACTCTGAGGTTAGGGCCCAGCAATCTGTTTTAGTTAAGTCCTTCATGTGATTCTGGGGCATACTTGTTTGAGAACCAGTGCTCTAACTCAAACAGCTTATAGTCTAATTCCAGGCCAAGTGAATCTCAGATACCAATTCTCACATGACTTGCCTTATCAAAGTACCTTAACTCTTGACCATCTGGTGCCTCTTCTCAAATTTAACATTCTAAAGCATTTTACCATGAAGTGTTAATTTCAATGTTATATACATAATGGGAACCACTGGCCTAAAAACTTGAGCCTGTTTTTTTTTTTTTTTTTTTTTTAGACGAAGCCTCAAGCTATCCCCCTGGGTAGGGTGCTATGGCATCACAGCTCACAGCAACCTCCAACTCCTGGG